AACCTGAGGACTCATTTCATCATGCTGGCTGCTATCGGCAGGAGACACTTGTTCATCATAATGCTCATCGTCGTCATAGTAACCCTGTCCATTATCATATTCATAACCATTATGAAATCCACCATCATCATCATTTCCATGGTGAACATATTGGTAAGCGTTAACATCATACTGGTTGCCATGGTGATTCTGCTCTGTATATTCATTATAGTCTTCAAACTGGGTGTCATGTGTTTTTCCGTTGCTATTTGCATCTGAACTGTTGCCATGGAAACTTCCAAACTCATAACTGTGGTGACTATGATTCTCTCCTTCAYTATACTGTGGAGTATGGCCCTGGTCGCCATCCTGATTAGAGTTATAATTCATACGGCCATAATTTTGACCTTGCAGATGATTGACAKTCCCGGTGTTGTCAGACGAAGTGCCGACAAAATTTGATGCCCTCTGTGTCATCAAMGGTGGCTTTTCGTAGACACCCCTTCGGGGAGGGAAGTCCACATATTCATTACTATTCCATTCAGAGTCTTTAGGGTGCATATCAGAATCATCTAGTTGTTGACTGGTACGGCTGTTTGAGGTGCTGCGAAAATCATGTGATGAGAAGGAAACATTTTCATCATCAAGGAGGTTATCATCCAGCTCATTGATTAAAAGATTACGAATCTGAAAAAATGAAAAGCGGAGAGAAATTCTATTTTTCTGTGCAGTAGACCTTTTTAGCTTGGGCATAACGTTTTTTATTTCATACCATGTGTTATTCTCTTGGGAATGAAATTTTATGTTTGAGTTGTATCCATATTCATGAGTCTTTTCATGCTCAACCAATAAGTATATGTAATAGGACTCCATGCTGTCCAATTAAGAAATAATTGGACGAGGAAAATTCCGAGGACTGACAAAATTGGATGAGGCCGTAAGACAAGTCCAATTTGGCAGTCAGAGGAATTTTTCGAGTCTACGTAATTATTTCTTGATTGAGTAGCATGAAATCCCATTAAGAAAATAATTGGACAGTTACCTATATGGGATTAATGAGAAGCTGTATAATTAACAAAGAAATGATACTCTACTGAAAAGAGGAAAATCATGCCCAAGGTACAGACTTGTCTAAAAATCCTTTGGGTTGTATTCTATGATATTTATGTGTCTTCTCATGTGCAACCGTTAAACAAGAAATCATTCTTTAGGGAATGACACATGGTCTGAAATGGGAAATATTACGACCAAGGTACAGTTGGTCTTTTGAGATATATCCATATTAAAGTGCCTTCTCATGTGTAATCGTTAAACAAAGAAAGTATTCATTAGGAAATGACATGTAGTCTGAAATGGGAAAATGGAACGAGAATCATAAGCAGTAATTAAATAATTCATTGTTACAAGAAAAACATAATCTGAAATGGTAAACCATTAAGAACAAACTCACTTGGACTACCAGTCTACCATCTAGCCCTAGGGGGTTTAGCATTGATAAGAGCACTAAGTTTTACTCTCTTTTTATTTATCAAGATATGCTAAACAAGAAATGTAAAGGTGCTTGTAAGCAGGGTTTTTTGTGATCTCCCTTGATGAGCCGTTATGGCTCTCGGAGTAAACAATTAGGAAAATAGATGGTTAAATAAAATAAAATAAAATAAAATAGTAGGACTTTCAGAATAAACAGTTGACTGTCAGAACCTGTGATTGCTTCAAAGTTAACCATCAGTTACTTTTTCTTTTCTATAAAAAACCTTCCGTTTCTTGTATCAGATCACAGCCAGCTACTTCAGACTTATGTCCACCTACTCCAAAATATTCTGAAAACCCTGACTGAGTTATTTTACATTTATCTAATAGGAATCAATGACTTGTTATTCTAAGCCAGACTTATTAACTACACCTCATTGTAAAATGCTAAGGACAGCAATGGATAAGCGCTATATTAAATTCATTATTATTATTATTATTATTATTATTATTATTACTCAGACTTAGTGCCTACACCTCATACATACTAACCAACTCATGTTTATAAATTACATAAAAAGCAATATGTCATTCACACTCAATGTAACATGCCTTTGATTATGTTTACATAGAAAGGACACTATATAAATCATTATCATAATCAAATTATTCCACATCATGAGATCATTTTTCCCATTTTTGCATCCCATCTCTGCATCTTTCAAAGTGTTATTATCATTACCTCCTCCTCTCGTTCCTTTTCATCTTSCTCAAAGGCAGCCTCTTCTTCATCTTCTAAGACCTTAAAAAATTAATCAGTAYAGTGTGAGTTCTCTAACTTTACAGCATAGCTTTCTAAATCTGCTTACAAGTGTGGCTAACTGTCTTTGTACTAAGGACATTTGCTCAAGATGGAGCCAGAAAGTCTGGACATTGAATAGTTTTTGGTCAGAGGCAATATATTTTTTTGTAAATATTGTTAATATATGTATTTTTCAAATAATGTGTATTTATTTTTTTCTGGTCCGGTATCTTAAAAAATCGTGCATTCTGATAGGCTGTTTGAGCAGGCAGCATTTTGTCATTATCTGCCCACGCGCGCGGTCCGGTATCCTTTGCCGCTAAACGACAACACAAAACGATGACAAAAACAAGTAAAAAAGAATACGGGGAGAAAAAAAAAAGTTATTTACTGTCCTATAGTCAGTCCGGGTAAGGAAAAACTGTGCCCTCGGTATTGAATATTCAAGACCTCGGACACAGTTTTTCCCTATCCAGACCTCCTGGCCGGTAAATAACATATATGTCATTGCCACTAAGATGAACAAAACCTTTTTTCAAAATGCAATTTTGACCTTACAATCTGCCACTGATCTACATATATATATATGTCCTAGGGTCTATTTGATCTAGTGATATGGTTCTTAATATTTTTCAGGGACTACGATATATAATAAATTCATTAATTATTGATATTTAGATGCTTTGATCAGTATGTGATATGAGCTGCAAAAAGGCTATTCAAGTATGGAATAACAGCCAACTATTTATATCCCTTTTATCAACTTATAAATAATTAATGAGGGGAAAAAATAAAGACGAGTCATCCATGATAAGTCTATAAATCAGATTAAACAATATCGGTTTTATTTCCATCTTAATTTGACATGGATTTTCTCCGTAAGACTCACTCCAATCTCAAAATCTTATTTCGCAGTAACTTACAAATTTTTCATGYGCGCAGATTGGTTATTTTTTATRATCAATAAGAGGACAGACAGATAAAGYTGATGTCAACAAGYRCGRGCTCTTTCCGTTTGTTGTTTTGATCACCAAAAATGAGAAGTTTTCATAGTTTTTGTTATCGTGGATCCACMCTACTTTGACAATGTGATGAAGCAATTTATCGTCAATAAGAGGACAGACACATAAAAAWCTGATGTCAATTTGTTAAACAGAAYATGAARTTATACATCTARWCATTTGATAAGCAATACTGTATACTATATWATACAATAACTTGARTTCAATCTGTATTGGCTTTACAACAGCATGCCCATGCCCAWACAGAACTTCTGCATATATCGTATATATTACCTAGACAAGTGAAGGTGAAATAGCTGTCATTACAGTTGAGACAAAAGAAAGCAAATCTTGCTGCCATATTTCAAAATTTTGAAACATTAAAATTTTTGACAGGGGTTAATTACATTTTGAAAATACAAATTACTACACCTGCATTGAAAGCTTTCATTTCAAAAGGTTTTAAAATGTATACTGTTTGGGTTATTTGACCCATACCCAAATTTAACAGTACACCTCATATGAATATTTCCTATATTTAAATTATTGATTTTCCTAAAGATAATTGGCTTTGGAAATGTGGAACAAAGTGTTAGTGGAAATAAACATCTATTTAAAAAGAAAACACAAAATATTTTCACATTTTATATGAGATTACATTTTTGAAAATTTAATGCATTTTTGAAGGTTTTGAAATATCAGACATTCGAATTCCTACATCTTAACTCAAAAAAATACCAATATGAAAAAAATACACTAAAAATATATTTCGTACATAAACGTTTGAAGAATGTTTTTAATTGTTTTCCTTTTTTGATGCATTTTTGACATTTGTGATTTTTAAAAAAATGTATTTTTGACATTTAATGTTAATTCTAATTTTAGGGATTATTGAAAAACCATTATATTTATGCCTTTGCCTACAGGAAATTACTAGGAAGTCACTTTTTGAATAAAATATTCAACTGAGATAGCAAGCAAAAAAGACAATTGTCAAATAAACTAAAACGTGTGAAATTAAATTAGAAAAATAGTCAATGAAAAATAAAAACAATYTGGGGAAAAAAGAACAAAAATAGTAGTTTAGGAATTAGAAATGATCAAATCTCTTGTCTAAGGGAATAAACAAAATAATCTAAAAATATAACATTAACGATTCTATTTTTTTTTTCGATAGCAAGTTGAACAATATTGAAAGAGTATTTTATTGTCAAATTTGACAAGTTCCCTTTGAAAKGCTACTTGAGTTTGGAAGTATTTCATTTTGTATAAACTTGGAATCTTCTACAATGACAGATGTTTTCTAGATGCGATAACATAATGAGAATCGGTTAATTAGGCAACGAAGATGAATWGAAAATTAGAGTTTTTGGGAGTCGAAAATCTCAAGCTAAATCAAAAATTCACGGTTCAAAGCGCGACCGACTCACTTCAAAAATCTAATGTTTTCATTAAATTTATTAACCAAGWTTTCAACCAAACAATGAATTTAAAACCTCAAAATAATCTTTACGATACAATRGATACGAGTGATTTTAGAAGAGCAGTTTTAATGACAACGGAAATATTTCAAAAATGAAGCGCTAATCRCAAGCACAAACTAATATAATTTCCCACAAACAGAGCCAAACAAAGGCATAAAAAATATGGATAAAATACCTTAGGATCAAAACCAACTTGGCTGAGCCCTACACTCATCTTTAAGCACGAGATTTAGGTCAGGATTGAGTGGTTTGGAGAGATTTTGTCTTAGTAAACAGAGGTTGAAAGTCAGAGAGTCGTTCACGTCGCCCGGCAGCCATTTTGGTTTCTTGTCCAAGTCTCTTGAGATTTGCGCGCGAAATTTTCGATACCCAGGCCTCGCGCGACTRTGTCAACAGATGAGAGGAACGCCTGCTGTTAATTGACAAATATTGACTGGACTGAGATAAAAAAGTCATTAATTAACACAAAAACTTAGGTATTGACTAAGTGGATATCGAAGCGTGTGAATAAGCACATGAACCTAGTAATTATCAACTTYGGTTATTTTTGTTTCATGATTATTTTATGTTATTTTATTCAATTTCATTTGCAGGTTCTTTTTTTATTCATTTTATTCCTTTTTCCTTTCTTTTCTTTTCTTCAATTTCTTCTTAGGGCAAACTCAGAGCACATGCAGCATGAATGGGGTTCTGGTATATCCCTTTGCGTTAGCGTAGTACTACTACGACTAAGAGAGAAAGAGAGACACCGGCTAGAATGATAATGAAATGGAGGGAGAGAGAGAGAGAGAGAAAGAGGGGGTATAAGTATATTGTCTATATCCTCATACACTTTAGACCCTGCTCATACGCTCAGTCCCTAAAATATTATAGATAATAGTGAACATGCAGTCAGTGTCAGTKATATTGCTCATTAGTTTATTTCAATTCTAAGCGTTTTCACTCATAATTCTTATTATTTTTTTATAATCACACACAGTGGTCCCTTTATTAAGTTGACTAGTCTTCGGGACTTCGTAGTGCGTCCACTTAACAAATGTGTTAGCTGCGTTGTTTAGAAGTTAGTTTTAAAATAATATGGCAAGAAAATTTCGAAAATGTCGTTGAATACAGGGTGTCGGCTAAATAGATGTGTCCACTTCTATGAAGGTTCGTTTACTGTATAAATATCCAAGGTTAATATTGGGGGGGAAAATTCCGTCATTATTCAAGATACCATCCGTTTAATGCTTGGCGTTCGCTTAATAAGGGGTCTGCTGATTCATTTTGATATTAGCTTATTATCTATTAAGATTTCAGGGATGTTGGTCAAGTCCTTTCGCTTGTCAACCCTTTCTGCAACAGCAATAGTTTGGCCCACATTCTGTCACGTGACAGGAGTGGTAACGCTTGATCACCAGTCCCACACGGTTCACATCGATGTTAGTRCTTCCTGGGTTGGGCGCAAGCTGGGGACGACCCTTGTACAAATGAAGAGACTCCATGCAGTGAGGACTGTAAAGAAACAAATAATGGAAACCACGTCATTCAGTACACAGCCCAAGCCCAAGCCTGAGTTCGATCACTAGATTCGGTATAAATGTGAAACCGTAATGATAAAAGGGTAAATTATACACCGTGAAAAGATGAAAACAAGAGGAAAGAAACCAATAAGAACAAGGTGGGCAAGGAAACGAAAAAAAAAAAACCATCAAAAGACAAAATAGTGGGTTAGTTTTAACTAAAAAAGCAAAGCGTCCTGTATAAATGTGAGTAGAGTCAAGTCACAGCTAACTCACCAGGAGTCTGGACTTTTAAATTTGAAAGCGTGTTAAGTTTCGTGAAGCGAGGGAAAAATTATTCGGAAAACTAGAAATAAAACATTTGATTCAAGGAGGAGACCTAGCTAACAAACTCTACTCACATGCGCAATGCTACTGAGTCTGGGAATCGTAGAGTATAACCGGCGAAGGAAGGCGTTTTAAAACAAAACAGTCTCGGTCGTTACCTGCCATTAGCCCATGGGTACAGCTGCGCGATCACGGTCCGAGACTTGCATATTTGATCACACGAATCTTTCGATGGACATCTCCGACGA